CCCTCGTGTAGCTTTGCGCGAAATTCATAACAGACTGCTATATAGGTTTGTATATTTTTTTAGCAGTCTTTCCTCTCTATAGTATATGGTTATAGGCGATTAAACTTATAAGTTTAATGTCTGAAACTTATCACAAATCTAGACCAGAAGTACCAAAATAGTATACCCTACTTTTGGATATACTTAACTTTTATACCCTATTGTGGCAACACTTACTAAATTTTTGAGAAGTTGGTTATGATGAAACACGATAGTCATGACTTCTTAAAGTTCACGACGACAGAACGTGAATCAAACGCCACGAAATAAATAGGCAGAATTAGTCTAAACTTTTTAATAATGTTTTAAAATAATATTTAGCATGAATTTAATAAGAAAATAATATTAAAGTAAGTCTAGTTTCTATATTGTTTCGTTCACGTTTTATTTCCGTCATTTCAAGGAGATGAAGATAAGAACGTCATAAACACCCTACTTTTGTGTGTGTGGTGGGGGGGGGTGTTTTCTGTTTTTTTGCAAGATGAGGGGTAAATAATTTTAATCATCCTGCATCAAACACCATTTTTCCAATCGTAGATGTAAATCAAAAGAAATTTTTTATAACGGCACTTAAACTTACAAACTCTTATTTTAACAAAAATTATAGCCAGTTGTTAAAATTAGCCAACGTTTTTCAATAGATTAGCTAAATTTGACGTAAGTCGCTAATTTTGGTCGTAGATTAAAAATAGTTCACTATATATAACGACACATTCCTTCATTGGAAAAATGAACATGTCCAGTAAATATGAAGATTTTATCCATGTATGATGGTAAATTATCGTATATGCAAATAATCAACATTTCTCTTGAGTGAGGTGTAGTCTTAGAATGGTTATTATTTATAATAACAGATCCTATAAAAATGTTGGCTGGTGTAATAGTGATACCGATTACTTTAAAATACTACAAAGTGTGAAAAAATGGCACTAAAAGGAGGAGAGGGAATACAGAAAAATTTACCCCAGTTTCCATTATTACCGATACAATTTTTACCAGTGTCGTCCTCAATTGAAACCATTATTATCAGTGTAAGTGTTCCCAACTTGCTTTATACTGGTGCGATTATAACCGAACAAACTGTTTCGATTATCATTCAAAATATCAGTCCTCCAGGTAGCTCAGCGGTAAGTCTAGAGGGCTTATAACGCAAAAATTGGGCTTTGATACCTGAATCGGGAAGATCACAGATGGTCCATTGTGTAGTTTTGTGCTTAACAACAAACAACATCAGTCGTGAAAAAACCACATATATTGGCTTCATCATAAATATGTTTCAATTATTTGGCGTGAAAGATCTTTATTTAGATACAATATTGAAAATAATTTTGAAAACGTACAGGTATCGTGAATAATTTCTGATCAGGGGCTAATTAATGGTCAGACGGGCCTGTGACTAAATGTTTTTACAGGACCTTTTATGATCACGACTGAAGACTAAGGTAAAAAAAAAAAGCTTAAGATATGTTTTACTTTTGGAGACAATGGGAAAATAATACCCACAGATTTACAAGACTCGTCTACAAATTAAATAACAATATCAGATGTTTCTTGAATAGGAAAAGTGGTCCTCTGCCACAAACAAAATTTGCATTTTGACAACAAAGCTTATAGACAGAAAGATACCACATACACACAATCTCAACAATTCACGCACATACAAATAAATGAACAAAGACGCGCGTGCGCGCGCGCTTAGATCACACCAGTACCCACATTGCATGCCCAGCAGTAGTGGCATATCATGTCATCTGTACTTGGTTAAACTACTGTTTCCCTGACTCTTTTTGTAGCAGAGATTATAACAAGTCATTTTCTATACATAAAAGTACCAGTACATTTAGCCTGTCTTGATACATTGTTGATTGAAGTGTGTCCTTTATCCTTTTTAGCATCGAGAATGATCTTTCTCCCGAGCAATTGCTTGATATGAGGTACAGATACATCATTAAGATTATCAGGACGTTTGAGAAAGTTGATTTCACAGATTGGCCACATATCATTCTCAGCATACTTTGTTCCTTGGATTCTGGCGGTTTTTCAACAAACCCTGTTTTGCAGAAGGCAGCAAATTGAACAATTTATTTCTATGTGCAACTCTCTAAGCCCGTATGATACGTACTAATCAGATTTTTAGTGGCATTGCGGAGGCCCTCTAAGTTTCGTAGAAACTCAAACTTACAACTGTCGTTTTCATATGCCACTATTTTGTTGTCTAGCGTTAATGACAGTTTGTCAATTATTGTTAAGAAAGTCTGAACTTTATGTTGAGTAGAGGGTAAAAAATCACTGTCCTTAGCACACCCTTCGTCCAATCGCGTGTTTCTCTTCCTTTTCGTTGACCTTTCGATCTTATAAGTATCACATTCTAACAGTTGTTTACTCTTTTCCTCATATTCGTGAAATGAATCTTATAATTCCACCATGAATGTCTTGAGAGGTTTTAGCAGAAGAGAAGCTGTACTAACATCCATCTTGGAGTTTCGTATTGACTTGTCTTGTGAAACCTCTCCAGGATAATGCTCCATAATTCCGTTATTATACCTGTTAAAATCTTGTCGATTCATACACTTTTGGTTTTGCGAATAATAAATTTGGTGACACAACTTTGATGCAGTGAGCTTGTTTTGTGCTGACTGAAGTCCCTTGCAGCATGTTCCCAGTCAGAGTAACCAGTTGTCGCTACCAAAGAAGTTTCCATTGCTGTTGAAAATAACTTACATATAATGCAGAAGACATTCCCCTTCTATGGTGAGTAGCAAAGCCAGTCTCTTATAACTTTTTCGCCATTCAATACTACGCAATGAAAAAGAGTTTTTGAGCATTGGCATTTATGCTTGTCACCCAGAATCGATTTTTTAGATGCACTGAAATCCACACCCACGTACTAACAAGAGGTAGTCTCCGATGTACAAAGAAAATCTCACATTTCGTCAGAAACTTGTGTCCATGAGACAATGTCGAATGTAAAGGATGGGTTAGTACCTTCATCACCACTGTAATAATTTATTTCTTCCTGTTGGTAGGAGATCGATTCGA